GGCGCGAAGGTCGACGCCACGAGACACGTAAGTCTCATGTAGATCGCGTGTCGTATAATCGCCGAAAGTGAGTTCTCACTATTGTGCCATGCACATTGCACACGGTTTGTCATCGCGAACAATTTCCTTTCGCAGGACGGCGCAACCCCGCTTTTCAAAGCCGCTCACAAAGGTCACACTGCCGTCATCGGCGAATTGCTCAAGTACCGTCCTTCACTCGGCATACTCCCGGTAAGAGTCAGAGAAAAATCAACGAGTTTTAAATATTCCAAAAATATTCCAAATAAATATTCCAAATACTCCAAAAATATTCGTGTGTAATTTTAAATTTAATTATACAAATAAAATTCCTGTGTGAGTCTCCGGATTTTAGTACATTAATTATATTTATATTTTTTATACTTATCAAACGAAGTTAAAACAAACATTTTAATTCTGGATTTGGTACTCTTCAGTACGGAAGTCTTAGCACAAACTGTTGGTACAATAAAGCCGTTGTATTTGACTTTCGCACTGAAGAGATCTCAATTTGCGTTTACTTAACTTCGTTTGGTAAATAAATCCTAATTAGTTACGAATTATATTTATTATGAATGTATAATTATATTTATTATGAATATATAATTTAAACGTGTTAACATCTGTGGAAGCTCACATAGACATTTTATTTGTCTTAGACTTATTCTTGGAGTCACAAATATTACTATTTATTTTATTTCAATTTAGTTTTAAGTTTTATTTCAATTTAATTTTAATCTATAATTATATATAAATTCTATGTGTATAATTTCTTATGCGCAAGTAACTGTTGAGTTTCTTTACGATTTCAGAACGGCGAAAGTGCATTACATGCGGCAGCCTTGACAGGACATATGACAGTTGCGAGGCAACTCGTAGGAGCGGGAGCTGATCCTTTACTCGTAAATCAGGAAGGCATTACGCCGCTTCAACTGGCCGTCCGACACTCGCAGACGCAAGTCGCCAATTACCTGAGGGATAAAGTGAGAGTGCGAACTGCATCCTGTTAGCGATACTTCCTTTATCTTGATATTACCATATCGAGAATCTCGAGATATTATTCGATGAGCTCGGCTCAACAGTATTTTTAAGCAGGATGTAAGGCACAAATGAGATGTGAAAAAGAGTAGCCTGTTTTTAAAATCGATAGTTTTATTATGATAAAAGAATATTATATGTGAAGTTTTTTTATTATTTTATTGTATATATTATTATATATAAAAGAATGTTATGTATTTTTTTTAAGAATGCGAAGCATAATATATGTATATCTTCTTAGTATTGATGAAGAAATCCTTATCGACTGAAAATAAAATAGAGCTATTCTTTTTCATGTGTTACTCTGTATTACATAAGTGATATTAATGATCACAATAAGCACACAAAAGATGTGACAATGAAGAGAAATTTAATTTCATGCAGTAATGATAGCGGATACATTAACCAGAATAAGTAACTTGATTATATTAATAAAGATTGTAAGCAGGAATCCGTTTTTATGGAAGTGATTAGGATCTGTTTGTTTGCATCGTTCTTTTTTACTCCAAAGCCTTTCCTTTTAAGTACTGAAAATAATAAAAACGCACGATTGAAACAAACAGATCATTATTACGTAATATACATAATCATGATACTATTCCGTTCTATTGTAAATTCCTCGGTCGTAACGTCGATAGAATTCTCATCGCATAACTCGCGAAGTATATACTTGATCAGTTTCACAACGAGTTCAGACTTGGCGGACATATCCAGATGTTCCAACATAAATTCGTAGATGACATTACGTTTCTCTTGATTCGCTCTTCCAGGCAGAGTTAAAACCTTCATCTCTTGTTCGAGCATTCTGTGTCCGCAGTACGCTTTCCGGGAGCGGCAATTGTTGTAATGATATATGCTCTCCAGAACCTGCTCTGCTGAGAAATCAAAGTGTCTTGTTCTTCATTAAAAGTCTCTTCCACTAGAAAGGTCGTTAACTCGCGTATCATGCTATTTGTGTCCGACAGCATCATCAATATGTGAAAGAAAAATGGTCCCTTCATCTTTATAAAATCTTCCAGCAATAACTCAATAAATATCACCACTATAGCTTCTCGTACGGCTGGATTCGGATCCTTCATGCTGATGCATAAGTCCGGAAGATACGGTTCCACAAGAGCAGTAAATCTCACGCAGATATCGGCTAGCGCTTTCGCAGCATTTATCTTCACCGATGTTTTTATCAATGAATTCGAATTCATTTCCTGACGCATTACGTTACCAAGTATCGGTGTGACTTTTTTCGCGACTTCGCGATCTCTCAGCGCTTGCTGACAGAGAAGGACCACCGCGGATGCCTGTAGATCCTTTATTTCTTTCACCGTATCTGGTAACGATTCCCATTGCAACAGTAATCGTTCAAAAATTCGTAAAGTTGACGACGAAATCTTGTTGGTGCAGAAAAGCGATGCGTGACTCAGTGTAAATACAGCTCTGATTTTCACTGTGTCTTGCGTACAATTTCTGTTCTCCTTCAACAAATCTTGAATCTCCATCTCCGACAATTTCATCAGTTCCACCATATCCGATTCTATCACGTGATTGCTCTGGTCGACATGTAAATATCGTAAGATACTATTCAAAATATCCAGACAGATACTGATTAAGTTGAAATTGATTTCGAAGTGACAAATACATTTGTAAAGATGCTGATAGAGATCCTCGAGGTAATCATGATTCAAGATGGACCAAGCGTGCCTCAAAACGTGTAAAACTAAACTGGCGTGGAAATCGTTCTTTCGAATAACTTCCTTATAATCTGCGATATATTTATCTATATTCGGAATCTTCATATTCTCAGCTAGAGCGGCTAACAGTATCCACGCGCCTATAGTGTTATCTGTATCGATATGCGATTGCAAATTCGATATCATAGACTTGGTAATAACGCCGTTCTTCACCCATAAGCTGCAAGCTTTCGACAGATGTTTCCTCATTCTCAGGTTACTCAATCTATCCAGAATCCTCCACGGCAAGCTATTCGCAGCATTCGGAATATACTTAGTGAGAAATTTAATTTCATGCAGTAATGACAGCGGATACATTAACCAGAGTAAGTAACTTGATTATATTAATAAAGATTGTAAGCAGGAATCCGTTTTTATGGAAGTGATTAGGATCTGTTTGTTTGCATCGTTCTTTTTTACTCCAAAGCCTTTCCTTTTAAGTACTGAAAATAATAAAAACGCACGATTGAAACAAACAGATCATTATTACGTAATATATATATAATCATGATACTTATCCGTTCTATTGTAAATTTCGGTAAAAATATTTTAATACAGTTTTCTATTGTCAAACATATAAGATGACGTTAGAATGTTGTGAACGTCAAAAAATAATCTACTTCATTCTGTTATATTCCACAGTATAACACATACAGCGAATTCGATTGCACTCAGTACGCACTGATGCACATTAAAGCCATCGTACATAAATTAACATAAAGATATTTATTATAAACATGAAAACTGATAAATCATGAAATATCCAATACATTTTGCTGTTAGATAAAGTATGCATCTTATAATTCAAAATATGTGCATTTTAATTTTTTTTTACACTCAGATTAAATCAATGTACGGCTTTAATATGCACTAGTGTGTCCAATCGAAAATTCCCTAATAGATTTTATAAACTTCAACTCATTAGCAGTAATGTGCGATTACATGCAATGAAAATTTCATGTACGAGTACATATATATCAGCAGTCTGTCTACAAAATAATTATACAGAAGAACATCAGTTGATTTATTGAAATTAATGAGTTCATAAGACTGACTGATTTGCCTTGAGATAAATATTTTCTTATTGTAGGTACAGATATAAATTCCAGATCTTTTATCTATTCTACTGTGTAAGGGATGTGCAAGGCGATAAAGTCATTTGTTTAGAAATTAAAATATTTTATTATATACATAGAATATCGACGCGCACCGGATAATTTTTAAAAAATTATAGTAATTGAACGCATGAAATATTATTTATATTATTACTCAGTTATTAAAAAATAAACTTCTATCGAAGTTAAAATACACAGTGATATTTAAACATTTTACTTTAAAATAATATTTAAATATTTTGTAACAATTTTAGCTCTGTAGAAAAGTAATAAGTACTCCTGTCTTCCTAACAAACAGCACAGTTCATTAGATGTAGTTATTGTTATTGTTAACGAAAAAGTGCAAAAGGAATAATAATAAAGTTCTCTGTAAAGAAAGCAGGTGATTTCTAATGTATAAAATAATATGTTACAAATATACTTCGTTATATGAAACTTCGATCATTGTTCCTTGAAACATATTATATGCGCGTATAATGTTATACAACTATTGCTAAATTAATACTATTTGTACTCCTGTTTAATGTTTATCATTAATTTCTTTTTGCTTATATAATTTATACGCATGTACATGCAATGAAATTAGCCAGGTTTGGTTTATGAAATATCACAGAATAGTTCACATAGTATTCGGAATGTTATAAATTAAAATTGTTTTAAATAAATGAAAAACTACATTTATCATTTAAAATTTTTTTACAATTCTATTTGTTGAATTCTTTCTTTCATATTGTAATATTAAATTTATTGCAAATTGTAAATGACAATGTAATAATTAACAATTACGTATATATTTTTATCAATAGAATTAAATTTATTTTTCAACCAATAATTAAAAATAATGAAAATAGTTTGTTATAATAAAAGCAACTTAATATAACTCTATTAATATTTAAAAATAGTTTTCCTTTTCTGTTTTATATTTCTTTCTACTGTTTTTAAATATTAAATTTAATTAAAATATAGAACAAAATATTTTCCAGAAAATTTCTAGATAATTATTTTTGGATAAATATTTATCAAATGTCAACTTATTAAAACAATTTTACATTTTATTTCAGGAGACACTATTTATGTGCCTCATAAATAAATTTATAAATATTTTTATATAAGAAAAAGAATCTGGCAGTATTCATATTGTAAACTAATCTAAACTTACTTTTAATATTAAGTTAGTGTCAAAAATGTGTTTTTATCAAATTTTATTTTAAATGAGCGTTACTAATTTTAATATTAAAAAGAAGAGAAAAGATTTCTAGACACAAGAAAAAGAATCAATGATTAATAATAAAAATTGCCTTTAAAAATGTAATTACCTCGTCTTTGGTATTATAATTTTACAAATGATATCTTTTAACACTAACATAATCTATCGCTCTCTAAATTAATAAATTAGATAAAGAAATATATAATTGCAACGGCCTTCTGACGCACAGCTGCTAAGTGCCCATTTCCTATTTCATTTCAGATGCAAAGTATCTTCTACCTATGTGCACGTTAGAAGCGTGTCACGCGTTTCAGTCGAAGAAGTACTCTAGCAGAATGCTTCTCCATTGACAATGTATCGACTACAAGGTATGAAACGGCAGAACGGATTTTACTCGATATTCATAGTATACTGATAAGAGAGATAAGATGAAGCATACTGTATTTATTCCACTCACAGAATTATCAGTTACATGCCGATTCTAAAGGAATACTCATCATGGTCCGCGATCGTATGGCTGATTTGCGTGCCGTTAGTATTTTTACTTTTTCTGTAGTTATTAGAAATGTATCGAAAAAGAAAGGACTTTGATCAGTTACTAAATATATCGTGTCGAACAATACGTTGGTGCATGAATCATGTGTGCAAATAAAAAAACTGTTCGCTTTCGAATCAACTTATCATTATGATTAAAAATTCACTTATGATTAAAAAACACAATACAGAAGTATTGTGTACACATAATTAATAATTATAAATAGTTATATTTTGTATTATATAATATACCTTTTTATCGAAAATATTTTCACGCAAACAGTCTCGGAATTACCATGTAATGCACTAATTTCTCCAGAGCCGAAGCAACAGCAGTACTTTTGGCAGAGGATTCTTGCAAGACGTACACCTTCAAATAGCTCAAAATAAAAAACTTAAAGAGTTACTTGATGAAGTATGTATGAACGTATCGAATTATCATGAAATCATATATCTTATATTCTCATTGAATGATTGAGACATAGTGTGTTAAATGTAGGCCGAAGAAATACGCGGTCTGATCCATCTTACAGTTGAAAACGTTTCTATCGTGAAAAACTTGCATAACAATGTTCTATCGCACACGAATAAGGGTAAGTGGCAGTATCCAAAAGTCGTATGAAAAATCTACAATTCATAATATAATGTACTTATACATATATCTATTTGTAGACTTGCAAAAAGAATTAGAGATTCGTACGTGTACGATTTCGCAGACGGCTTTTCACGTGCAGCGAAAGTTACGAGGTAGGTAAATTTGTACATTGATTCCATAGACGTTTGATTCCTTAGATGTTTGAAAGTGAGATCAAAATCGGCATTGCACATCGATCAGTTCATTCATCGTTGACCCTTAGATTTTTATGAGAAATATTTGGTGACATTTCTCGCTCGTCCGATCTTTTTCTTTTAGCGGGAAAATCGCTAGAATACGATTTTGGACTTTGTGTCAATGTAGGCGTGCTAGTACTAAAGCTTGGCTCTGGAGGTGGGGTTTGTAGCAACAATCTTTCCAGATGCACCGGGCTTGTAATTAACTCGTTACCAGATGTGTGTGTCGAGGGTGAAATACGCTGAAGTAAAACTCGGGGTATTCGCTTACGTATATCTGCTAGTGAATCCTTGCTACTTATACTGGGCGAACTGCTTTTACCGTCATCGTTTTCTGAATTAATTTTATCTTTCAGTTTCCTGAAACATTACATGATTACATCAACATATATTTATATAATATATATTTCTGATGAAATAAATTATTAAAAAATTTCGTACAAAGATATACAAACTTCAATTCATCTCTTTCATAATCGTTAAGACTAAGTCAAAGCTAATTTTTATCTTTTGTAGAAAATCAGAATGCGTAAAAATTTTATGATTTTATTATATATTAGAAAAAAATGATGTAGTCATTTATAAACTGATATACATACCGTTGATAACGATCCATTTCTTTTTCTAATTCAGGATATTCATCTAATAAATCAACCAGCTGTTCTTTTTCATATTCCGAGTAAATTTTGAATAACAATCTGTCCACATCTTCCTCCAAGGAAGATTTCAAATTAACTAATTTCTTCTTAAGCATGATTAACGTAGGTAATAAAATATCTAAATTATGTTTTTTCAATGCCGTTATAATGACATTCAAAGCATTGTTAGGTGTACTTGAGGGAGTCGAGCTGGTTTCATCAAGCTCCGTATCATCTTTATGTCTTTCACCAGGAGATAGTTGCAAACGATTATTATTGAGTATGAATACTGCATCTCTCAAGACGCATGCACCTTCCTCGGTCGTAACGTCGATAGAATTCTCATCGCATAACTCGCGAAGTATATACTTGGTCAATTTCACAACGAGTTCAGACTTGGCGGACATATCCAGATGTTCCAACATAAATTCGTAGATGACATTACGTTTCTCTTGATTCGCTCTTCCAGGCAGAGTTAAAACCTTCATCTCTTGTTCGAGCATTCTGTGTCCGCAGTACGCTTTCCGGGAGCGGCAATTGTTGTAATGATATATGCTCTCCAGAAACTGCTGAGAAATCAAAGTCTTGTTCTTCATTAAAAGTCTCTCTTCCACTAGAAAGGTCGTTAACTCGCGTATCATGCTATTTGTGTCCGACAGCATCGTCAATATGTGAAAGAAAAATGGTCCCTTCATCTTTATAAAATCTTCCAGCAATAACTCAATAAATATCACCACTATAGCTTCTCGTACGGCTGGATTCGGATCCTTCATGCTGATGCATAAGTCCGGAAGATACGGTTCCACAAGAGCAGTAAATCTCACGCAGATATCGGCTAGCGCTTTCGCAGCGTTTATCTTCACCGATGTTTTTATCAATGAATTCGAATTCGTTTCCTGACGCATTACGTTACCAAGTATCGGTGTGACTTTTTTCGCGACTTCGCGATCTCTCAGCGCTTGCTGACAGAGAAGGACCACCGCGGATGCCTGTAGATCCTTTATTTCTTTCACCGTATCTGGTAACGATTCCCATTGCAACAGTAATCGTTCAAAAATTCGTAAAGTTGACGACGAAATCTTGTTGGTGCAGAAAAGCGATGCGTGACTCAGTGTAAATACAGCTCTGATTTTCACTGTGTCTTGCGTACAACTTCTGTTCTCCTTCAACAAATCTTGAATCTCCATCTCCGACAATTTCATCAGTTCCACCATATCCGATTCTATCACGTGATTGCTCTGGTCGACATGTAAATATCGTAAGATACTATTCAAAATATCCAGACAGATACTGATTAAGTTGAAATTGATTTCGAAGTGACAAATACATTTGTAAAGATGCTGATAGAGATCCTCGAGGTAATCATGATTCAAGATGGACCAAGCGTGCCTCAAAACGTGTAAAACTAAACTGGCGTGGAAATCGTTCTTTCGAATAACTTCCTTATAATCTGCGATATATTTATCTATATTCGGAATCTTCATATTCTCAGCTAGAGCGGCTAACAGTATCCACGCGCCTATAGTGTTATCTGTATCGATATGCGATTGCAAATTCGATATCATAGACTTGGTAATAACGCCGTTCTTCACCCATAAGCTGCAAGCTTTCGACAGATGTTTCCTCATTCTCAGGTTACTCAATCTATCCAGAATCCTCCACGGCAAGCTATTCGCAGCATTCGGAATATACTTAGTGGCGCTCGTCATTCTATTTATCAACACGTTTCCCAGACACTCCAGCACCTTCTCTTGTACTTTTGCCTCGATATCGTATATCTGCGGTACAACAGCCTGTATCCATTCGTCGAGAAGACTTGAATTGTGAGGGAACTCCTGCAGAATCTCGGATAGAATGTGCACGGCAAATTGGCGCACAGTCAAGGTGGAATCTCTGCAACGATCGCTTATTACGTGCATCATTTTACTTACTAGCGATGGGAACATGATGGATAGGTTTCTCGAGATCTTCAAAGCACTCCGTCGCACTAGTGCGCGCTCGTCGTTGATTCTGTCCAGCAACATTGCAATTAAAGCGGTCGATCCTGGTAGCAGATCAACGTCCTCCAACAACGCTTCTTTTAGGTCATCAAGCATGGGAAACGTTTTATTTGATGAGGCTGAAGCTTCAAATATATTTTTAAAAATCGCCTTGTCGGCGTCGTCGTTGCAATCAGAGAACGAAGCAAGCGTGGCCATAGCTCTTCCTCTCACTAAAGCAGAGCGATCTATACAGCGAGATAATACAATGGCTATCGAAATCGTTCTGATTTTCATCTTGACATTTTTATTTAAGTTGTTGTTCAATAAAGAAGATTCTGTCAAGAGCTTTCCTACAATTTCCTGCGCGAATAATCTACAAGATATCTTACTATTATGTGAAAATAATACTATGTCTCTAAAAATACCGAGAACCATAACTTCGTTACATATATTCAACAGTTTTATTACAACAGCCGCTTGCTTTTGACGGCCTTCTAATCTTTCTGGACAGTTTACCATCAATTGATGTATTAAAGTGACGATTCCCTGCATGGTTTCCTGCTCGTGAATCGTTAATAAATTTTTTAGAAAATATATAGCCGCTTCGTGTACAATGGTTATAGACTTCGGTTGGGCATTTACATGTTGAAATAACAGATCAGGCAACATGTATTGCGCTATTAACGTTATAGTTAAACCTACAGTACCGTGATTGCTACTGCATAGCTCTTGCAGAGCTGCAAACGCATTCTGAGATAAAGAAGTTATTCCAGAATTGTCGTGAGACTTGATATACATTTCTTGTCTTGTGATATTTAACAGTATGCGTATTGTAACATCCAAGGACTCGGCATGTTCTTTAAAGCGAAATGATTTTAACATTGTAACAAGATCAGAAATAATCCTGTCTAATCCTCGCGTGAGTCTCGATCTCTCGGAATGCAACAGACTAGAACAGAACGACAATTCATCGTCGATACTCGAATTTGTCGTATTTACCCCTTTATTGTTTCTAACGGAGGAGAATAAGTTCTCTGACATTTTCAATGTCTCAATCGCTCTCTGGTACAAGTTCGGATGATAAACTCTGAACGCGTTGCTGCCAGGTATCGTGAGGAACATAAGATACAAACTTGTGGCTTCCAGACAGGCCTGGCTAGAGTCTTTGTCTGTCTCTTGCTGGCCCATCTTCATTATGTAACCCAGCATGGCAAGCAAACCACGCATATTAATGTTCAACATCATCAAGGCTTGCCACGAGAATTCTGGAGTCTCGTGCTCGTTTGCGACAAGCCATGCCTTCAGCTCGATGCGAGACTCGTGCAGCAGCCGCTTCACGTCGTCGCTCTCCAGGTACTCGAGACACTCGTCGGACGGCTCGTCATAGACGACGAATTCGGCGTCCCAAACAGATTTGATCCAATTCTCGCCGAGAATGTCCAGCTTAAAATTATGAAACACACGCAGCGACTTCATGACTCTGTGCCGATTTCACTATCAAAATTGTGTTCCCTCGTGATCGCGGCACCCGCAGACATAAATATAACCTTAACTTATCGTCACGATAGCGCAACAGATAGATTGGCAGGGTTTCAGGTTATCATCATCTGCAAGCGTATCGATAATGATTTTACGGTCCTGCTTCCATGGTACAAATGACCAGCGAGAATTACCTTCGTGAAGAATTTATTATAAAACATTTCGATCGTCGTTATGGGATGCGCCAAGCGATCAACAGTGTTTATCGTCCATATACGAGCGGGAAACTGAATAATCAATCTGACCAATCAGCTGCACAATGTCTATTTCTAACAATGTAGATGATGTAGATTAACTTATTTTATCTTCCTCTAGTTTTAAGAGTTAGAAAAAGAGTAAATTATCTCGAGATTAAAGTTAATCTACATTGGTAAAAATTAACCTAAACTCAATTTGAATAGATGTGTTGTTTGATTGCATACAGCAAATTCTTGATCGTATATACATACATATTGTGCGCACTGATGCATGTTAAAGACGTTGATTTAATCTGAGTAAAAATGAAAAGTAAGTATTTCGAATTATAAAATACATGTTTTACTTAAAAATACAATAAAAAATATTGAAGATTTCACGATTTAACTCGTTTCTATATTTATATTATAAGCACACATCTATATAAATAGATTTTAATTTCAGAAATATATTACAATTATTATGATATTATTGGGTCATCTAAAAAATATCCGGTTTTTTGTCACTAGATGTGTGTTGATGGTCATTTATCTAGTGACAAAGTACCGCGGATACTTTTTAGATGACCCCATATATAGATTAATATTTGTTCATATTAATTACTATGCAATTAATTTTAATATTGGTATACGTATTTATAATAATAAAATAATTATATAACTGCTATTATATAATCAATTAGAATAAGAAATTGTTTAATGCACATAAAATTTTCTATAGTTAAATATGTTTATCAATGAGAATTAACAAATTTGTGTATCTATGTACAATTCTGATTATTTATTTATTTTATTTAAATTTACTGCTAAAGAAAAAACAATAACAAATAGTTGAATGTAATCAATCGTAAATATTATATTTCGTAAATATTATATTATGATTACATTATATGAATGTTTAATTAATTATTAATTAAATGCATTTGAATTTTGTACGCATTAATTACCGCGTTGACTCTTAATTGTCTGTGAATTTTTTCTTATTAATTTTATTGTTTTGATTATAATAAATCTACTGCATTTATCCATGCAATATATTCAATTTAGATGTGTGTTAATACATTTGTTCTTATTTATTAGTTTTATTTATGCATCTCTTCTCATTCTTACAACTTATGCATCCTTTGTAGATATGGAAAAAGGTGTCATTGCCATTGACGATTTGACTGTAGCACAAGATGAACCTGTATACGGTGTATACACGAGAATTAGAACATTGCAATATACAACTATGCTGCAAATGTTTTCTGATATTATGAACGATTACAATGCCTCGTTACTGAAATACCATGATAAGTGCCTCTTACTTTTGCAGCAGCAACGTTCACTACGTATGTTTTCAAGAATACATACATATTGACACAATATTTATATTTACATATTTATATTTACATTTCCTTAATATTATATTGTTATAATTATTAAATTTAAATTATAAGAGACTAATTAAAAAAATAGTTTGTAATATAACGCATATACATTATTTATTAATTAAACTATTTGTTGAATAGTAAGGCGACAAGTTACTAGCGCGGAATTGGATCATATGCTCGATGCTCAAGAAACTAGCTTATTTGTCGATAATGTAAATATGAATTTAATAATTTCAATAATATTTATTACAAATCTTTTTATTCGTATCAAATATCTGATTAATTATATGCAGATTTTAGAAGATAGTAAGATAGCTAGGCAACAATTATCAGATATAACAAGTAGACATAATGATGTTCTAAAATTGGAAAAATCTCTCACAGAAATCAGAGATATGTTTACGGAAATAGCATTTTTAGTCGAAAAACAGGTGAGTGCAAGCTGTTGGTAACAAAATTATATGAATTATGTAGCATGTTACTAAATGTAAACTTAAAAAATATTTATACATATATACATTTAGAATCTTTTTCTAGGGAGAACAAATTAATAATATAGAATATTTTGCTAATAAAACCACGGATAACATCGACGGCGGACGTGTTCAACTCAAAAAGTCAGAACAGAGCAGTCACAGATATAGAAAGGTATTATAAACATTTGGATGTTCAGTTATTTTTGATAAGATGATATTATAATTATGATATTATAATACTATATTATCTTACAGCGGAAAATTAAGATTGCCATTGTCATAAGTATAATAGTGTTAATATGTCTTTTATTTATTATCGCGTCATTTTAGAAACTATTTTAGAAATATAATCTTATAAGATACCTTTTGAATGTAGTTTATTTTAAAATACTTTAATATTAATGTATAAATTATATATATAATGTAATGAATTTACATAATTATAACTTACAATTATTTTTTGTTAACATTGTAAGATATTTTCTGTACTTATAGTTATACCCGTATTCATAGTTAGGCCTTATATTTAAGACTTCCTTAAATTTATCTTTAGATATTCTACGAATTATTTCATTGGCTGCTGAGCATCTAAAGAATTTTAGTTTTAGAGAATTTAAAAAAAATTTACTTTTCTTAAATTTAATAGAAACTTATATTAACAAATTCATTATTTTTAATCTTTTATTACCTTCGTTGTTTTCGCATTTAAATTCTAAACGCAAAAACGGTTAACTCTTAACCGAGGAGTTCAACTTCATTATCTCTTTTCAATTCTAAAATTGGGATGATAAATAATAAGTTGAACCTCGATTAAGAATTCCGTCAGTTGTGAAACTGAGCCTGAGTCATCCATATAGTTATAATTAACTACATAAAAATCATGTAATTGATCGAAATATAGATTAAAGACGCTACAGCGCTATCATCAGTCTCTCTCTAGTATTTCAATATTCCTGGGCATATTACAGAATTGTTTCGAATAGATTTCGATCAAAATAAATTAATTATTTCCTACATTTCTCTTGTATTTTCTAAAGAAATTATAGAAAAACGAAATAATTCCCGAAATAATAATCGAAACCCATGAAGTCCCATGAAGCGTATTTGCCGCATATCACGTAACCGCACAACCAATCAAAAACGATCCGCTGCTGTGTTTCGTGTTTTACTGATTACCGATTGGTTATGCCGTCTGCAGCGCGACTTTCGTTGCGTGCGACACGCAATGATGATATCCAATGAGCGTATAGCTTTAGAACGGAACAGGTAAAGTTATTCGCTTATTAGATATCGCGTGTCGCACGCGACGAACATCGCTCGGGTGTACAGCTGGCATAATAAATAAAAGTATGTTTTTATAAACCATTCAATCCACATCAGCGATAAAAAAGAATCATCAATGGTCAGAATTAACAAATACCAAGCTTTAATTTTAACCACGTGATCCTTTTTGTTGCTGTAACAAATGTATTGCCAATCGCCGTGAAATTCAACAGTAAAACTCCTAACCCTCCAGCGCCGAGGTTGGCGGCCCTTCGTTCTGAGTGAGCAGTCGCTTACTTCAAAAGAATCGAAGCAAAGATGGACTCCTGAGAAATTTTTATACACACACCATTGGTCGTCCCCGAGTCTTCGGATCTTCCGAAATATTCCGCCGTTAAATTCTCACCGAGGCGCGCCCGGAGGGCCAGACGTTCTTTTATGATCACGCTCGCGGAGTGTGAATGATGATCGTGCAGGAGCCAGTGCAGGTAATGAAAGAGAAAAAGAGTGATGGAGGAGGAGGAGGAGGAGAGAAAAGTAAAAGTGTTGAATTTTCCTTGAACCTCTTCACCGCTGTGACATGCGAGATTTTGTACATCGGGTCGCATCCACACTTTGACGTCTCGCCGATCGGGCGTGTTCATTCACACCTCGACGGCTTTGATCGCGTCGAACGATTTCCACGATGGTCGCCTCTTAAAGGCAGGACCGTCTCTTAAAGACAGTTCTTTCGTCCTCGTTATTTATTCGACTTTAATGATACTCTAAACATGCAACTTTGAGTCTGTTTACCTTTTCGCAGAAAAATGAACAGAGCAAGGAGGGTCCCGTCTATAAATAATCACGAAATTTTTAAGAAATGCTATTCTTAAGAATTTTTGTAGATGGTCACTTGATAATTAAATATGGGAAAGAAAGCGTTTCTAGAATTTATATATATCCATTGTAATCTTCCAAATTATTAAAAAAATTAACTTATTACGTTATGTTTGCAAATTATATTAATAAATTTGAATATTGTGCATGTATCAGATAAATAATAAGATGCTTTTACCTAGAATTAAATGTAATATAGTATACATTGTATGCAGTCTTATCAATTCAAAGAATGTTAATTGAATATATTTTATAACATTATATATAGATAATTAAAATCATTCTTTTAAATATATATTTTAAAGATCAAGTAACATTAGGTGCATCCAAAAGCGACTTTTCACTAACGATCATTCAATGAATGCTTAGTAAGCTCTTGGCATATTCCGTTAGAACTAAAAATGTAAACCAACAGATACAAAAGCTGAGCGTTCAGTGAGCAATCATGCTTTTGGATGCATTTATTAAGATATTGCATCATTTATGTAATAATGTATAATAAAGAACTACACTTCTCTCTAACATTACATTGAAATCTGAAGACTTATAGATATATATTACATTGTTAAAATATTTTTTTCTAAATATTTTAATTTTTTTTATTTAATTAATTATGTATATTGCTATTGCACAATCAGTTACCAAGATAAATGTTGAATTTTTCAATTTTAGGCGGCCATATGGCATTGTTTGAATCATTATGCTTATCCAGACGCTATATTCCTGGCGGAACGGTTATGTGCAGAAGGTAGTATCATCTAGTTCGTTTATTGATTATATTGTTCTCATATTTTTATAATAAATTTGATTATATTTATATATACATACTAATGTATTATTACATCAATATTATAGTGGACACAGAGGAAAGTTTGTTTCTTTTGGCAACATGTTACTATCGTTCTGGTCGGGTTAGGCAAGCTTATGCCTTATTATCTCAGAAGGCACCCAATTCGGCACAATGTAGATTTCTATTAGCAAAATGTTGTTATGATTTGGAAAAGTAAGTAATATGATATTTTTTTTTCATTGTGCTCTGTATATTAAAAACGTGTGTTAATCTTTTAAAAATTTTTAGATATGCAGAAGCAGAAGCTGCGATAATTGGTGGATATTACAAACAACTGAAAAATTTGGAAGAAATAATAACTCAATTTGGAGAACAGGCATGCTTTTCTTTGCAGATAATAGCAAAGATTTATTATAAAATGATGCGTACTGCGAGAGGTAATGAAGCCCATAAGCTGGCTTTAAAATTAAATCCCTTCCTTTGGCACTCGTTTGAAGAACTTTGTAATGTTGGTGAGAAGGTGGATCCTGCTAAGATTTTTCAGTTAGATAAATTAGACTCTTTCGCTATGTGCCATGGTACTGTATCCACGCTTAGCTACGTCACTGAACCAGATTTTATCGTACCTGGAAATAATGGCAACAATACACCTATATCGAATGGCACTAACAGGTACATACATAATTATACATTATAATAATTTTTATTTTTAATTAATAGTTTATTAATGTTTAACATTTTATTTTGTGCATTACAGTACACCTGTGACGATAGCATCAACGCTGATAAATGGCGGTCAGACACCTCAGGTGCGATTGTGTTCTTCTATAGAGGAGTCACCACAAAATGCGTCGATTCACTACAGTAATTCTTCGATATCGCCGAGGACGAAACTATCGCGTTATCGCAGTATGTTCAGTAATTCCATGAGTCCACTCACGCCTAGCTTCGGTATTTTGCCATTGGAGAACAATACACCCGAGCAGACACCTTCGCATACTACTCTCACAGAAGCCAATGACCAAAAGAGCTTGGCGAAACGCGTCAGTAATCTAAGAGCTCATGTAGGGGTGAGTGCAATCTTTCAGTACCATAATATATAGTAACTAATTTTTTTGCAATCTTTCAGCAATTAATGTCAAGAAAAGAAACACCGTTGCAACAAGGCAAATCAGTATTTTCCCAATCGGGTAATACAAGCAATACTGCCAATATTGTGACAGTAACAGCACCTAATCCGACTTCACCTCCATCACCGACGTTTCAGGGCACCAATGTTAGACGATCGTCGCGTCTTTTCAGCCATAATTCCGTAAAGGTACAATTTTTTTGTTTTATTTCTTCTACTTCTGAATTGGAAATTGTAAAATTCACACAAAAATGTTATTAGGCACCCATCTTGGTTAATTCATTTATCTTTTAATTACATTCTCAGTGTCTATTACACATTCTATCGATTACTGTCGATTTGATATGACACATATAAATATATTTCAGGAAAACAATAAGTCACCTAATAGAAATAAATTTGCAACTCCAAAGTCTCCGTCTCGGAAAACGAAAGCGAGACTAGCCAAGGCGAATTTAAATAAAACCAACTTTAATGAGTTAAACGAAAGGAATAGGAACGAAAAGGAGAAAAGTGAAACGATCACATCTGAAAAAGCTGTGGCTAATGCAAACGCTCTTAATGCCCAAAATAATAATATTCACTCTGGTATAACATTACAAAAGCAATCGGCAGGTATGTATACCTAAATTAATTATATTTAATTAATTTATTTGATATCTTTCGACTATAGCATAATTTAAAATGTTTTTGTCTGTAATTTTTCAGAGGGATTAATGTCTTTGTTACGAGAATTAGGAATGGCGTATCAGCACTTGAGTCAGTTCAAATGTACGCATGCGGCTCATATACTAAGTATATTACCGTCACGACACTACAATACGGGTTGGGTACTTTCTATGTTAGCTCGTGCACATTTTGAAATGATGGATTATAAAAAGGCTGCTAGGTAATAAATTTATATTAATTATTACTATTAAAGAAATATATTGATTTTGACACTTTTTTCCATGTATAATGAAATAGACGTACGTTCAAACTTTAGAGCGAAAAAATGAAAAAAACGAAACATTAGAAGTTCAATTACAATAATATTTTTTTTCGATATATTTAAGGGTATTTTTCTGATACATTAGGTTTGTTCGCGTCGCATGCTCTGACATATTCCAACATGCTCTAATCATAGTTCCTACTCGAGTATGTTTGGATAAGAGCTGTGGTAGGAGCATGTTGGAGTATATCGCATGCGATGAGAACAAATCTTATATTTCTCTTTAATTATCTCTTTTTTTTTTAATTCTGTTTGCTTCATTTTTTTCGTGCAAAGTTATTTCGCTGAAGTGCGACAGTTAGAGCCACAGAGGACAGAGTTGATGGAGATTTATAGCACTGTTCTGTGGCATCTACACGCAGAAGTACAGTTGTCTACGCTTGCTCAAGATCTAGTTTCCCAAGACCGTAATTCGGCGGCGGCATGGTGCGCCACAGGCAATCTCTTCTCGGCGCAAACGGAACACGAAACTGCGATCAAATTTTTCCAAAGAGCTATTCAGGTAATGTGCGTTAATCTTAATCGTAGTATGCTAGCATTGCATATACGACTTATTCTATAAAGTAATATACCATTCTCTGATTAGGTGGATCCTAATTTTCCATACGCCTATACATTACTAGGGCATGAATACGTTTTGACTGAGGAATTAGATAAAGCGATTACTGCTTTTCGTAACGCCATTAGGCTCGATCCCAGACATTATAATGCATGGTAAGTACTAAAAAATTTCGTTACTATCATAATGTTTCACATTTTTTGATTGCCGTCTGAATTTGTATGTAAAACATTTCTTCATTAAAGGTTCGGATTAGGAACGATATTTTCGAAACAGGAGCAATACAGTTTAGCGGAGTTACACTTCAAACGGGCCTTACAAATAAACCCGCAGAATTCTGCATTGATGTGTCATATAGGTGTTGTGCAACACGCTTTGAAGAAAACCGATCAGGCGTTGAAGACTTTGAACACCGCGCTAATGAATGATCCGGATAATACTTTATGTAAATTCCATCGTGCGAGCATCAACTTCTCTATTGGTCGACATATGGAAGCTCTAAGAGAATTCGAGGAGCTAAAGAATATTATACCCAAAGAATCTCTAGTCTATTATTCGATAGGAAAAGTAAGAGATCAGTTAATCGAACAGATTTTTTTTTTATTTTGACGTCTCTTATATAAATATATCTTTATATTTGCAATAGGTACATAAAAAATTAGGCAATACCCATCTTGCGTTAATGTACTTTAGTTGGGCAACGGATTTAGATCCAAAGGGTGTTAATAGTCAAATTAAGGAGGCTATATTGAGTCCGGGTCAAGGAGATGATGATTCTCCGCCGACACAATCAGGTATGTAGTTATCAGATATAGTGAGAGCTATACGAAATTTTAATTATTTAAAACCTTAAGATCATTTATGTTAAAAATATTATTTGCTATTTTATATTTATACAAGTAAAATGGTTAATATTTAATATTCGTAATATTTCGTAATATTTTTATCACACAAATATGTATTATTAATAATATAATAATTTATATAATTAATTTCCAATTTCACAAAATTATTGTATTCTTATAGATGAACAGCAAGCACAAAGTAACTCAATGGAACAGGATGTTGAAACTAGTAGAGAAGGAAGTGCCGCGCCACTTGCCGGAAATGTCTCGGTTGAACCTCATGCCGATGACAGTGACGATAGTTTATGAAAATGATATGCAAGAAGACTTCCGTGAAAAAGAGATAGCGTTACTACCCTCATTATCAGTCATTCAAATCATTTTTCGCCAATCTCGCTTTGCTTAGTCGGAGTCACTGATGCGCGATCATTGATTTAAATTGAACGGTTGTCGACATCTTTGCAAACTATTCCATACGATACATATAATTCGGTTAAAAAGAATTATATTATTTTTCCGCATCATCAAATTTTCCTTTTAGCTTGCACGAATTTGGGGATTCTTATATATACACGGATGCGATGTTTTCGCAAAAATAGAAGGCTCGCATATCGTATCCATCGATTGTATATTACGCGTTCGCCTCTGTATATTTTTTTACGATTGATTATCTTTTCTATTTTTTCATCGCTCTTAATCATCTCTCTCTTTCTTGTACCTCGTCCCGTTTCGCGAATAAATCGTTTTAAGTCAAACGTGATTCAGAGACGAGAACTCGTAAAGAATTTGGCTTTAATCAGGCTTGATTATAATAAAGAAGGAAGGAGAAAGATCGATTTAATTCGCGACGAGATATTAAAGATTTACGGTTGAGTAGAGACTGTATCACGTTGCGATAAGGTGAACGAATATAACCGTAAGCATGTCATATATAGTTAGGTAATATGATTAATTGTTCGCGAATAAGGAAGAAGAATCTTGTGTAAATGTAAATTATTATTATTGTGTATTTACCGCTATGATTACTATTACTACTTAGTGCTATCATTACCATTATTATTTGTATGATTATCATTGTTGATTTAGTGATTGTGAAGGTATCGTTGGCTGCTCGGCGTCAGAGCGGCCGCTAGACGATCGTGCAATTCTCGTCATGAAGATCCCCTCGGTTGATCGAACATACGAGTCCGAAACACCGCGACTGCGATTTCGGTGGTTCAGTAATCGCGCGATTACATTCGGTTTTTCGATCTCGACTTGATATCCGGAATTTAGCATAACTCGCCTCGCAAATGTCTATATATATATAGAAATACTCGTCGGATTATATTCTTAATAGTGCTGGACAGAATTTATGATGTTTACGGCGTCGATCTTCGTATCGATATTAAGTGTACAATGCAAATTGTGTCGTTACTCCTCGAATATCGTCGAATTTGCTGGAACAGAGATCGCAACGTGTTGCATTAGGAGGAACGGCGTATATATAAATAATATACGTTTATTTTTAATTTTAAACGAATTGAGTTGTGATCCTAGTGCGCTGGCATCCGTCGCGCGTGGCTGTAACATTTTATATTGTACACGTAATTAAACGAAAGACGTCACACGGAAAAAAGAAATAAGTTGTACACAAATCGTCGACTAAAAAATACGTCTGTGTGATGCACGCAGATACGCGTATCCTGTTTCTTCCGCTCCTTTATACGGGATGGATACTCTACACGATTTTAAAGGGTGATTTCTCACGTAAATTTAAGACGAAAACTTCATATAATGTATATTTCCACATGTTCAAAATTTCATCAAAATAACCTGAATGGTTTTCGAAATTTTTGAAAAAGAATCTTTGCCTTCAACTTTGACTCCTTGTCTCTTTGATTTGAATCAAACTACTGTTTCGAGCGTATGCAGTTTTCGTCTTAAATTTGTGTGAGGAATCACCCCTTACAATCTTAGAGTTAGTATTCACACTGTGTATATGTCTCTGTCCCTTTTCAATTTATTTATATTTATCTCTTTCGTATCTCTTTTCCACATTCATCCCTGCGTTTTTGACGGGGAACAAAATGGGAGCGAGGATGGAGATCTTTTTGCATATGTCCGACATATTGCATCTAATCTCGTTATTTATTAACGACGTCTAATCGTTATTTATTGTTTGATCCACGTACGTTTAATTGCCGAGCGGAAATGGAATCGTAACTATCTTCCAAAGAGTTTAGGAAAACCAATACGCGCGTGTAAATGTATGTGATGATGTCTGGCTCGCCTTTATCCAGCCACCGCCATACAGAAACCGAGAAGGTTCGATCGAAGCCAACAATCGCTGCCGTGTTACTCGTTACAAAGAGGTGTATGCGCAAAATAAAGGCCTGCACTTTTTACGAAACTATCTTGACGACTTCACTCCTCACCTATTTGTCCAATATATTTAACATTGACTTCTTGCGAAAAGATTTTTAAAAAATTTAATTAAGACCTTGTATATAAAAATCGTAAGAAAGACGGCAGCGTGTTTACGGCGAGGTGAGATAACAGAGAAAATGATTACTGATACGAACTACTGCCTGAGAGGGGAGCGAGACAGTGAAGCGACCCGCGGGGTCGTCCGTCTCTTTCGTCTTCTTCTGTTATCGTTTATTACCGTTGACAAGAATCCGACAGTGCAAAGTGTGTTGTTGAAGCGATCGAATCGATGAGACGAACGGATCACACGGCGAGCATGACTCCACGAGCATCTAGGAGGGACTCGGATGTCGTCCTGTCCAACTTCGGCCATAAGGAACACCTCTTCAAGTGTCTCGTTATTGGCGATTACGGTGTCGGTGAGTCAGGGCGAGATGCACAAGTGATAAACTTACATTATTTAAAACATAAATTTGAAATACAATTTTTATATCAAAAGATGTATTAAAAGTATAAAATTTATAAAACAAATTAATAGCTCAAAAACTATTCATTATTGAATCTCGTGTCTATTATATTTTTCGTTCACTATGTTATATAAGCTATTATATTTAAAAACTAGTTTATTTCACCGGATCTAATTTTTTATATTTTTTATAATTGATACGAATCCTTTTCGGTATCTTTAAATTGCAGTTCTTTCACAGAATTTAACGCAAGATCTATTTTAATAATATTTTCATTTAGATTTTCACAGAAATTATTTATTTTAGGTAAAACTGCGCTGGTCAGAAGATATACGGAAGGTAATTTGTCACAATATGTCTCTTGCCCATTATCGAAGTTAATTAATAATTCTTGCCTAGAATCGTTTCGCAAGAAATTTCCGAAAAGTTTAAACGTGACATGTGTTTAATCGTAATCATAGTCGTGGATCGCATGTCGCGAGAGGATAGGTATTGCGGGAGCGTACATTCAGATTATCCGTCTTAACGATACCTGCGTCAAACACCGCAGCTGCGATACGACACTATTAATCCGGATGTCATCGGCGCACACTCTCGAAACTGTCTTTTCCAGGGAAATTCTCCTCGAATTACAAGATTACCATAGGCGCCGATTTTGCGATAAAAACGCTCGATTGGGATCCACAAACTAAAATAAACTTACAGCTATGGTACTTGTAGACGTATAATTTATATTGTTTGTTATTTTATTGTCTTCAAAGGCTCCCGCATGTATAATATTTTGCAACCCCTTGAAATTATTCTTAATCCTGCAGAATATATAATTATAAAGACGACAAATTTAATTAATTAATTTTTGAATATTTTAGGGACATCGCTGGTCACGAGAGATTTGGATACATGACAAGGGTCTATTATAAATACGCGTAAATATGACTTTAATATATCTTTTATTATCCGCTTGGATTAGTTTGTTTCTTTTGTATTAAATACGTATTTATTATCATAAATAAACGTACTTGGCTCCAATTTAATGGTACACTGTTAAATTTATAACGTTAAATTATATCCAATTTGAATTATTTTTAATCATTTCTATGGGTTGTCATTGTTATTCAAATAAGTCGTTTTAACTAAAACATTGAAATAAACAATTTAACTTAAGAAATTGTATTAAATTTGACTTAAATTTAATTTATTATGGCATACGTTAATTACAAGGATGTTGTTTATATTTTGAAATCACAGAAATAAATTGACTTACATTTCACATACATAGAAGTTAAAAATAAGATGTTATTTGACTCAAGAAATTTAGTTGACATTGTTCCTTTCACAGATAACAATGTATGACTCATCGAAGTAATTAAGATTAGATGTTTTAGCTTTTACTGAATCTGAAAAATCTCAACTGTATTTTCTATTTGTAATAATTTAATTTATTTTTTTTTTAATTTATTAATCTCGCTCATTGATTTGACCTACACGTAGGGTAGCCGCGGCTCTCGTATTCGACATCTCACGAGTGGCGACCTTCCAGTCGATGAAGAAATGGCTGAACGATCTCAGGGAGAAGGTCGCACTGCCAGACGGCTCGAGTATACCAGTCGTACTCCTGGCGAATAAATGCGACATATCGGTCGCCGTGACCAACGAGCAGATCTCTAAATTCTGCAAAGAGAACAAGATACACGCTTGGTACGCGACTTCCGCGAAAAACAACACCAACGTCGGTAGGTGGACGACCAGCTTATCCTCTGCTTATTTTTCTCGTATATTTATATCCTTAAAAAAGTTGTTATCTTACTTATTGCATAAACATCTATTAAAGTTTGAAAAGTAATAATTATTAGTATTATCATTAGTGTTTTTAATTGTTAATGATATTAAAAGAAATATAGATAACAAAAGACAGAATAATTATAATTGTAAGAGCTTACACGTTATTGTTTTACTTCTATAAAAAAATTTGTATACTATTACTAATTAAAGAGGAATGTTGGAGGAGTGACTAAATTCTAGTCTTAAATAACGAACATACTTATCACGTTATACATGTTTAAATACTAATAGTTTTTGATTGATTACCGGAATATTTTGATGTCTTGATTTTTAGACTTTATTGTCTTTGGTATATTATATGTACGTATATAATGATTTTTTTTCTACATTCCCAATGCAAGAGATATCACTTTTCTTAAATGATCGTTTAATACGATATATGTATAATTTGTACATTTCGGTATTTTTTTTATTTTAATCGAAAAACATTCTTAATTCAACATTCTTCTTTGCAGAAGCAGCGATACGCTATTTGGTGGATAAGGTGCTAAATTCGAGATTCGACAATGGTATACGGGATTCAATTCAATTACGGCATAAGAGCACGTCAAGTCGCGAAAAATCTATGTGCTGCAAATAGAGCGATGTATACATGCATGGACGATTTAGAATTATTGAGAATACACAAATCAACGTCATGAACAGATAATTGCGAGATCATCAAACACGGTGATAATATGATGATAAAACAAAGCTACGAAAGTGTATCGTTGAAAGATTTATATACATATATTGTCATAGTCACATTTGCTTTATGTGATAACCATTGCCATTATCATTTGTTAACCGCGCGTTTACAATGTCCTCTTTATAAATTTATGTAAATAAATTACAGAAAATAACATGATGAACTTATTAATAGTTATCTTTTTTTAATTAAAACCAAAAAAATAATTTCTAATTAAATAAAAAATTTTTCAAATTCTCCAAAATTCCATGAAAATAAAAGAAAAGATGCCATTATCATTTATCCGCCATGCTTTAATAATGTCCTCTTATAAATTTACATATATAATAAATAATAGATAAAAAATAATTGCAATGAAACTTATTATGGTTGTTCTTTTAATTAAATCTAAATTAATTCTCTGAAATATTAAGATTTGTTAAAAGTAACCGAAAAAATAAATGGAAGGTGTCGTTATATCATTTATATTTGTAACATGCTAATATAATTAATAATGTTCTGTTTATAAATTGATATGTCACGTTTATAATAAACTTTGAATAATTCAAAATTAACAATAATTAATAAATTGTGATTTTTTTTGCTTAAATTAAATTAATCTGAAACATAATTTTTATTAAAAGTAGCAAAAAATAAATGATTTTCTAATTTGTTCTTTATTACTGGCATTTGAAATGTCAGATGCAATAAACATGGAAGACATTTTGCAAATATTGTTATTTTTGCTTGTAAATTATGATAACGCACAAGCCTATGTACACAAACACATTTTAAGTAAGTTAATTCTATTCGCTGTAACCCTGATACTATTTTATCAAGCATTTAAGAGTACAAAGATATTTAAGTGTTTAAGAATAGCGCCGATAATGACCGTTTCCAGGTTGAGTTAGGTCGATTTAAAGGAAGGTATAATACGTCGCAGCAGTTATAAGTTATACAGTGTTGCGTCGTAGCTCGTACCAACCAGTGCGCACCATTAAGCGATCGGTTCTAAGCTTATGGAAGGTTAGATACGCGCGTTTAATTGCTTTTTTTCTATTCGTGAAGAATATAGAGATTAAATTCTTTCTTCATAACGGAAATAAAGAATAATAATGACTGACAACTTTCCAGATGGCGTAAATACGGGTAAGCATATATTAAGCAAAAAAGAAGATAAGTAAATATAGATAAGGAAGTAAATAATAGGTGTATCTCGTCTACGCGTGATACAGATTACTAAAGTCATCCATTGGAAAAATAATGGATTTCTTTTTACTACACCTAATATTTTAAGTAAGGAAAATATATTAAGAAGCGGAATAATGAAGTTAAATACTTGAGAAAAAAATAATTTCTTTTTTTTTATTTTTATTGTGTTAGACTTGGATAGTGGAACTTAAGTTTGTTGTTATATTTTCCGATATTTTCCAGTGCTAGGAAGTAAACGATTATCCGAACTCGGGAAAACGTTAACACATGAACATCTGGCTCTTGATTTTCATAAATTTTACGTACCACCGCCGAAACATCTTAAACGTTTCCCTGTCGGCAGCTTATCTCTTCAAGATGCCGGATATGTTCGGCAGTATCCGTAAGTCTAATCGAAATACCCTCCTTTCAAATTATCTTCTCTCCGTTTAATAAAATAATCCCGTTTTAGATCCGAAAATATCACATTACTCATAGTCCGTTTCGTATAAAATGAGAATGTTCATACAATAAATAAATAATTAAATTAATAAAAATTATGTTAAATAATAAATATAGATTTAAATGTTTTACATTAGATATAGCAGCTTATATAACTTGGAATTTTATGGTGATGACGCGGCAAAAGCTGTCTATAAAGACGTAGAATTATTTAAAGAGGCCGGTGGCGGAACTATCGTGGAGAACAGTAGCCACGGTTTGAAACGCGATATTTCTTTAATGAAGAACATCAGCCAGTCCTTGGGAGTTAACGTGATTGCGGGAACCGGTATAGTATGATATGTGTAGTAATATTATTTTATTTAATAAAATCTAATTTAAAATCACATAATAATACATTGTTATATTATTTGTTATAAATCAATTTAAACAGGCCATTATCTCGCCAGTACACAAAACGCATCGACTCTTAATATGACCAAAGAAGAAATGTACAACCTAATGTGCAAAGAGTTGGAAGAAGGTTGCGTAGAATATCCCGAAGTAAAGGCAGGATTTATCGGAGAAGTTGGCAGTTCTTGGCCGATCGAAGGTATGCACGCAATTGTACTTAAACAAGTTACCGAATGTTTTTCGTAATTATTACTATATCGATTATTGCGAATTATTCTATACTTTCAGCAAAACTTGTATCAAGATATTACATATATTATTATATTAAAATACACGCATATATATATATACATATATATATAATGCACTAAAATGTTATAAAATATTTCCATATTAGACTTTGAAAAACGTGCCATTTGTGCAACTGCCGAAGTTCAAGCTCAATTACGTTGCTCTGTGAGCTTTCATCCTGGAAGGAATGCATCTGCGCCCATGGAAATAATGAGGATCTATCAAGAAGCGGGTGGAGATGTGAGCAGAGCTATTATGTCTCACGTCGATCGTAAGAGAGTCACAATTTTTTTCTTTTTTTTCATCAATTTTTAACTTTTAATTTAGATATCCATTTGATTGTGTCACTGCAATTAATCAAATTAATTTGATAGGTACGTTAATAAAAAAGGAGCAGCTCATGGAATTCGCTGATGCTACCAAATGTTATATCCAGTTCGATCTGTTCGGCACCGAATGCTCTTTCTATCAGCTGAATCCATTGATCGATTTTCTATCAGATGCACAGCGTGTCAAACGTATTGCGCTGCTGAAGAAAGAGAAAAAACTGAACCGAGTTCTCATGAGTCACGATATACACACAAAGCATCGCCTGGTACGCGTCTCTCTAATATTTTCCGTTTTTCATGTAATTTTATAAATTTATGTTTTCTTGATCCCAGCGACACTAGACACTTGAAAACATTTTGTTAATTTTTAAGATACATTTTGGCGGACATGGATATTCTCATATCGCTAATAATGTTGTGCCAATCATGATAAATAAGGGCTTCACGACGGAAGAAATCGAACTGATAACAGTTGAGAATCCCAAGAAGTGGCTTACCCGGCAGTAAATCAAATCTTGCGAAACAAATTGTGCTCAATTATAAATTGATATTTTTACGAATAACTGTAAACTAATAGAATACATTAATTATTTTATAATTAATTTTTATTAAATAATAAACAATGCTAAAATGCTGTTCTATTCGATATCATGAAAATGCGAATCATCTGTATATCGACTCAAGTAATAAGATTCTTCGAGATATTAAACAATAATTTTTTGCTAAATTAAAAAATAATTTTTTTTCTTTTCTAAAAAACTTGATTTTTAAAATTATATTACTTTTAAAATAAGTGAACAATATTAAGTACTTAATACTAAATACTTCTATAAAGGAAAAAAATTGTTTATTAAAAATTAAAAATCGCAGCTTAATATGGTTCATTAATATTAATTGCAAAGTTTATAACCTTCCTAGAGAATAAATTGTATCTTCCTACATGAAACATAACGCATGAAAAAAATGTAACGAATTTTTAAATAATTTTAAATAATTTTAATCTAACGTAAACTATTATTATTATAATAGTCGATCTTTTTATTATAATTTTCGCTTAAAATTATTAGATTAATAATCATATAAATAAAAGACAATGCAAAGTTTATATTTTATTATAAAATACAATGACACATGATAATCTTTGGTAAAAGTCATTATCCAGTAGAAAGTATAACTTTTTGATTGTTCCGCGAATGTCTCAAAAATTAGAAATGTATGCAATATATTCGACATTCGTATTATTTCATTCTTTAACGAAAAAATAATTTATGAATTTCCTTATTATATTAGACGAGGTAAAAAAATTATGCAAACTAACTTGATAACTAATACACGGTTATCAATAACAATTTCTTTCTTTTTTTTCTCATCTTCCGTTTCTTCTCCGTTCTTTTTTGTAACGGGAAACGTCTTTTGTCATTTTTCTCGACGTCCGCCTCACTCCTGGAATTGTGAATTTCTCACGGGATTCATAGCGATAGAGACCGTCGATACCATCGTTTTGCTGAAGTCCTTCGAGTAGTCTAACAGCGAAATAAATTACAATTACATTTCAATCAAAATACTCGCAGTTACATAGAATACACAAATACAAATACAAATACAAATTGATAAAGAAACAATAATAAAGCAAATTATTCTTAAATAGTTACTATTAGGTGTTGGAATTAATTCGTAGCGTTTTACAAGTGATGGGAAGTACTTTCATTAATGTATTTTTTAATGCTCATGTGAAATAAATAACATTCTTTCATTAAAAAACGCTACGAATTAATTCCAACACCTAATATATTTTGTATAACATTATACAATAGTATAGATTATTTAGAGAACAATGAGAAATTAAACAAAGCTGTTTTATATGATATTTATATAATATTTTATAACTCATGAAAATTATAAAAGGATGAAATACTCTTTCCTCTAAATTTTGAATTAAGTTCCATAATTTTTATTCTATAGATATTAATATAATTTAATTTTAGTTAATTAAAAAATTAGCGGTGAAGATTAAAACTACATTTAGTCAAACTGAGTCAATAATAAATTCAGTGAATTATTCAGTGAAAACTTACTATAAAAAAAAGGTGTTTTTGTGTGTTAGCACATTATTAATGATTAATTATATTAGAACGATGATCGAAGGTGCGGAAGCATCCGGTGACGATTGCGACAATTTGACGTCGCCTGCTCGTCTTGATTTTATGAAAAGTGGAGTTAAGAACATGCAGAGCGTAGAAGAAAATCAGTAATTAGGGATTGCAATTAATTGACGTTAGCATATATAAATATACACGCAGACTGGTCAGCGGTACCAAAGTGATGATCAAAACAGAAAGCAGCAAACTTGTGGTGCCCTTGACTTACAAAGTGAGCGAGTGGTCGCTTAGGCTCGCGCGCTCGATCAGAGCTTGGTGAGTGTTACCGCGTGTCGTTGCTCGAAGTTACCTTGGGCGTAGTCATGCTGATGGGCTTGAAGACCGCCGGCACCACCCGGTGCACTGCTGCCGTACGGCGTTAAGGTCGCC